TGGTGCATGTTCGGTAATCATTTTAGGTGTACTCAGAATGGTTGCAAGTCAAACAGCATACAGGGTAGGTCAAAAAATATGAAAATTGCTCAAGAGTAAAGTACCCTTATTTCAGAAAATTCAGCAAAATGTCATTTAAAAAAGTTGTTTACATATTGGAAGTTATGCCTAAATATTAAAACATGGACTCCTAAGACATTTTTTAGTTTTTCAATTTTGTTCATTAATAATTTCCCAATTTCTAATATTACAAATACAAAATGTGCACATTGAATGGAAGTTTTTGAATATGCATATTATCATAAATGATGTTTCACTTTGTTAAAAATATGGTTAGCGAAATTTTAAAGTTAAGCTGAATATCGTTGCAACAAACATAAAGTTTGTGATTCCTTAAAAAAATTAAAACCTAAGTTAATTGCACAAATATGCTTGAATTTGAACAAAAGTATGCTCAACTGATTTTGTTATGATTAATTTCTGAAAGTATTCAGGGTGAATATAAAAAAAATTACAGATTGAGTAATTATTCAGGAACAAAATTGAAAAACTAGAAAATGTCTCAGAAGGCCATGTTTTGGTATTTAGGCATAACTTTCAATTTCAAACAACTTTTCTCGATAACATTCTGCTGAATCTTCTGAAATAAGGGTACTTCACTCTTGAGCAATTTTCATATATTTTGACTTACCTGTATGCTGTGTGACTTGCAACCATTCTAAGTACACCTAAAATGATTATCGAACATGCACCAACTTTTGGCACTATCAGTATTTTGGTTGTACAATTCATTAAAAAGATTCCCATATGTTGCACACTTGAATGACCACACTGTATATGCCTCTGCTGTCGAAGTTGGAAAAAAAAACTTTGTGTTTGTGATTCCCTAAATAAATTAAAACCTAAGTTAATTGCACAAATATGCTTGAATTTGAAGAAAAGTGTGCTCAACTGATTTTGTTATGATCAACTCTCGAAAGTATTCAGGGTGAATATAAAAAAAATTACAGATTGAGTAATTATTCAGGAACAAAATTGAAAAACTAGAAAATGTCTCAGAAGGCCATGTTTTGGTATTTAGGCATAACTTTCAATTTTAAACAACTTTTCTCAATAACATTCTGCTGAATCTTCTGAAATAAGGGTACTTTACTCCTGAGCAATTTTCATATTTTTTGACCTACCCTGTATGCTGTGTGACTTGCAACCATTCTAAGTACACCTAAAATGATTATCGAACATGCACCAACTTTTGGCACTATCAGTATTTTGGTTGTGCAATTCATTAAAAAGATTCCCATATGTTGCACACTTGAATGACCACACTGTATATGCCTCTGCTGTCGAAGTTGGAAAAAAAAAGTTTTTGTTCATTTGGGATCCGTTTGAAAATTCCGAAATTTTTCTCAGTTTCAGGTGACACCCTGTAGCGATTTTATATGAAGAACCTCATGTTTCAAAAAAGTACGAGATTATAGACAGAAACTGGGCTAGTGAGAAGTAAAATCCAAATTCAAATTGTTGAATGCAGAGAAAAGTTATTCATATTTTAACAGGGACAAAATTTTGGTGTGCGCCGAAATTAGTGTTGCGTAGTTTAGATTCATGACAAAAAAGTAGAAACGTTCCAGCCTACATGAAATAGTGATTGATCTATTACGAAAGTAATGACAGAACAGCACTGATTTCATCCGTATCAAGGAAGTTGCCCATGAGCGAAGTTTAGTTGATCCGGTCTCATTACAGTTCCATCTCAGGGTGCCGCGAAAAGTGACTTACTATGTAAAAGCGATTATTATCCTTTTGTGCAAGGCTGAAGAGAGGAATAAGTTGTAATGAGATTTCAATGAAAAAGTTGAGGATTTCGATTTGAATTTTTTTTTGCTGAAAGTACTATTAAGCACAAGCTGATGGCATAGAGGCGCAACAAGCTGGTTTTATATTCCTAGAGAAGAAGTTCTACGGTTTGTACGCTCCAAAAAAAGGAGATAACGTAACCATCCGGAAGAGAGCATGAAACCATCAGTTAAATCACTCTCCGAATTCCCTTTGATGTTCGAGTATCAAAAGCGATGCGCCTCATTATAGGGTCGGCGACAAAAAATTTGAATTGAATGGCTAATCATACATCATATTTTCGTTATTGTGAAGCTTTCGGTGTTTTCGGGAGTGACGTTTCATTTGTTACTATCAATGGGGCACTAAAAATTTGAATTCATTTCATAACTCAGATTTAAATTCCTGTTCATAACCTATAACACCAAAATGAACCGTTTTGGAGTTATTCTAGTTTTTCTAGAACAAGCTACAGTGCAGCCCATTGAACGGGAACATGTGACATTTTTATTGATATGCAGTGATTGAAAAATCAATATTGGAGGTTGAACGGATCACTCACCATGAGTGAACCACTGAATAAGAAAAGTGGGTCATAAAAGTTAAAGTGAAACATTGCATTTTTTTTTCAAATGGAAATCTAATTCTCACTTCTCATTATTCAATTCTATTATGAAAATGAGGCTTAGTTCATACTTACTTCCTTAGGAAGGTTGTTTCCATTACTTTCCTACATAATATTACCTTCACCGTCCATGTGAATTTTCAGAATCGTACTACTTTCAGTTCTCCATATATAGATCGTGTTAAATCATGAAAGTATACCCTGATGTATAATCGAGAAAAAATAACCCGAATATGTGGTAAGAACAAGAAAAAATCAAATGTTGAATTCAGTGCTAAACTTGACATTTTGCTGTTCATTTCATCAGCAGTTCAGTAACATTTTCCTTTAATTGTATTGGTATTGTATGAGTATTTTCTTCCTTATCCTCATCCAATGGACATCTGAAAAATGAGGATCCTCCACTCACTGCAGCCTTCAACAACCTAATACGTTTTGAACATATTATCTAATTCATTATTATATAGGACACCCGCTATAGCAAATTCCCTACGCTTATTCGATCCACTATGTATGTAGCCGACTGAGGTTCACCTACTACAACCTACTGCGGTCTAGACGGGGAAAAGGGAATATAGTCACGGCACTTTTGGCGGCATTTCGAGGACTGACGTAACTGATAGATAAACGAACGAGGAAGAAATGTTGACAACATAAATATGGACTTTTGCAACAATTCTCGAATGGGGATCCAATAACTTGGTAGATTCCAATGCACACAAAACACAAGCATGCCTTTTCTCAAGGAAAGCCGATCCCACTGTGCCCAACATGAGCTTGTCAGGAGGAACCGTACCTTTGGAGACATCCATTTCGATACCTAATATCACTATCAGCAAAAACCTTCCTTGGGAAAATCACGTGAGATCAATTGCTGAAAGTGCATCCCAAAAACTTGGTTTTCTGTTTCGGACCTGGAGCTATTTCACTTTCAGTCAGCTGCTTATGATCTTTGAGGCACAGATCTGACATGTCCTGGAATACGGTTCGTACAGCACCCAAACATACCCTGAAACTGTTGGATTCTGTCCAAAAAGGGCAATTCGTCTCGTGGGTGATGCCTCGCTCACAAACTCACACACTTTTCTGGAACACTGTAGAAAAGTTAGCGATCTGCCTCTATTTCAAAGATATTTTCATGGACGATGCTCTTCTGAAATATCAACAATTATTGTTCCTCCCTTGGCAGTCATCGCGAGATTAACCCGTCGAGTTGAGGCTTCGCACCTCCTCGTGGTCACTTTGGAGACCTGCAGAACATCTCTTTCCAAAGACTCGTTTATCCAACGAACAGCGAGGCTCTGGAACACATTACCAAGGGAGGTGTTCCCCGGGGCATATAACCTCCAGAAATTGAAGAAAAACGCCAATTCCTACCATATTTCCCCTGGTTCTCACGATGTTTTCTGAACATTACAGGATATCCCTTCTCGTGGAACCCTGAACATAGGAAAAACATGTTCTGATATATAATTGTGTAACAAAGAATGAGAATGGAAAATAATTCTCATTGAGTTCAGATACAAATCATCTTGTATATGTAGTATCTGGTTCAGCACTGACAAAAATAGGGGGCCAACATGGTTCAGGATTGAACTTAGGGCATTGTCGCCATCAGCGGCGGTGATCCAAAATCAATGTGGAATGCTTTTTGTTCGAGCATGACATAAACACGACAATGTAATTTATGTTGTTTTGTATTCAGGAGCTGACATTGTGATTTGCAGTTTGCATATTATGTGGTGGAAAAAGGTTGAATAGAATGAATCTCCATTGAACTTGTGAGGCCTATATCAGACCTTTCCTAGCGTTATTCAGAATATTAAATATATCATATATGCTAAATAATGCATTTATGATTTTGATAACCATTCTTCTACAAATATGATTCGAGTGATTCTGAAAGAAAATCCATTGTCAGTTTTTATGGGAAAAATTCCTGATGTTACTTTCTGAAAGGACCCCTCTATGGCTGGAATAATTTCAGTGAAATTGTCTGTATTTCCAGCAGATTCCAGTATTCGTAGATTCTATATGCGTATACTGTGTCCCAGTATTGATGATTTTGAGAGATATCTCAATTTTCGTTCGAGATAGAGTTTTTGTTTTCACATCACTCCCCTACTTCTTTGTGAATCGAGGAATGTGACAAATCTCCATATTTTAGAGATACATGCAAGAATTGATACACCTCCTGTATCTTCATACTCACCTTTCAACTTATCGGCAACATGAAATAGATACTCCATATAACTTCTTGAAAACACATTCCAGTTCCAAAAAACGTGAATTACTAGAAAACCATTGGTCAATTACATATTTTTGATGAAATGAGACCACCTCTGTACTTGACTTTTCTCGAATTTTATTCTTCAAAAACAACAAATATTTAGGTACCATCGAAAATGGGTCACTATGTATCGTTAATGGACAATACATTTCAAATATCAACTTTACATATTGCCAAAATTTTGTGAGCTACTTACGATTGTAATATCATAATTTAATATTGATCACTATCTTCAATCATTGTTTCAAGGCCACCAGAAGCAGGAAAGCCCCAATTGTACACAGCGGCACCAACAGACAAAGTCACTACCACGCCTGACCTTCTGCAGACATCTACTTTCACAGCTTCTGGGATGTCAACTTCGGCAATGTCCTCCAACAGAAATATCGGTACAGTATAACATGTTGTAATGATCTCGAACCAACAAATATCGTTGAATACAATTATCAATATCAAAGAGTCAAGTAAGTATACGGAAACACTGAAAAAATTCAAACGTGATGCTGAAATTGTCTATAGTAGATTTTACCTTGTAGGTATGTATGAAAGGCAACTGAAAATATCAGAATAAATACCATGGTTTGGTTTAATTGAACAAGGATTGCTTAACTATTTTACGTTGTCTAACCATTATTTGATTAAATAATCAAAATTTGTTCCTATTCAATCCATTCACATCGTCCTTAATCGCGTCGTTGTGGTACTTTCAGAGTAATTTCATTTTCAGAATGCGGTGTTCCTCGAATGTTTACCAAACCTCAAACTAGGATAGTTGGCGGAAAAAATGCCCCATTTGGTAGATGGCCTTGGCAGGTGAGTAAGTATGTATGAATTTATTCGTTAAGTAACAATAATATCAACATCTAATATAATAATATCAAGATATATTGCTCGAGTTTTCCTTGACTGATCTATTGCTATGGTTACCATTGTCATGGCAACGAGTAAATATATTACCAAGTCCCCTTGTGAGGAAATGTATGGTTGTCAAGTTGTCAATATTGGATAAAAAATAAATCCCCTGTTGAGGAAATCCAAGGTTGCCAAGTTGTTAACTCTGGCTCAGCTGAAATCAGTTAGTACCGTCAATCAGTGTTGACTTTCTGGCCTCGTATCGGTGAGTACTCATCCTCAAAGATTAGAATCGCAATGGAATGCTGCGAAAAACACCTAAATGGTATCAGCAAGTCCTTAAGAATGTGTTCTCTGACGGCACTGTAAGAAGAATAAAGGTAGATCATTTGTTAGAATTCTTAACGCCATCAACATCTAGTAAAGTGATTTTAGATTTTTGCCGGTTCCATTTCGATTTGTACACTGAGAATCACCTATAATTTAAATGTTTTTTAGGTATCGAGTTATCTCACGTTGAATTATGCTCACTTATAATTAGGTCAGATTGTTCAAATTGATGAATGTTTCAAATGTTATTCTACAAACTGTTTTCAATTCTTATAATAAGCGTTCTCTGTGTTTCCTCAACTCCGCATTCATTTATGCTTGAACTCGGAAACCAATTATTTCCTCATCACCGAATATGGGCTTCCATTCAACTGTCACCATGATAAAGTTTTCTATGGAATTATTTTCTGATTTCAACTGATTTCAGCTTATCGAAAGTCGATGAATTGGCAACAATGCATTTTCCTCACCATGGGATTATGTATTATGTTTACTCGTTGCCATGAAAACGGTCACAGTCTCTCTATAACTGATGATTTCAAGTAAGAAAACCTTGCACTCCCAATCTTTCAAACGGAATGATGGAATTGTCAATTATGAAAGTGGTTCGTAATCCACTTCAATCTGTAGGTCTCTCTCTTCCTAACCCTACAGAAGTTTCAACTTCTGGGAAGTTGGTTCGAAGTAGAGTCCCTGTATATACTTTAGTTATATACAGGGACTCTAGTTCGAAGTAGCGATGTGCAGAAAGGAAAAAATATATACTTGCCTACATGCAGGAGCTATAGATATCTATAAATAGTACAAGCCTCCATGAAGTGAATGAGGTTCGATGTGTCAAGTATAGTTGCCTGAATTTCAAACAAGTATGATATATGTAATGATACCCCACCTTACATTGCGTAATCATTGAATTTCGTACAAGACGATGATGATTCGATCAATCTCTTCAAAGTTACAAGAATCATAAAATTCAACAGAAATGACAATGGACCGACAAATGCAAACCCAATCTTCTGATGTATTGATGAGTGGTGCAGGAAGTATCCTCATTGTCCTTATCTCCGAGATAGGTACATCAAGAAGATCAGAACTTGGCATTGTTGTATGCTAATAATATGGTAAGGCGTGATACGGTCATTGTCCAAATTTCACTTGAAAATTTCCAGGCACTTTGTGTTAGTGTGTGGGCAGCAATTACTGTTAATTTCAATAACACTTGTCACTTGTCAGGGGCGTCGTTCCTTTCGATTTATTCCTCAAAAAACGAGTAATCAAAACTAATCAACAATTACCTACCAGCTTTTGGTCGTTTTTGATGAAACTCTGGCGCATTTGTAGCAATCAACCTCATCACCGTACATCAGGACTAACATATATTGTCAATTGATCGAGTATCATCTACTGCTCAGTCTATTTAGAGCAATCGACCAAATTGATGAAAGATTGAAATATACAGACCACAGACTGGCATTAAGATATTGTGTGCAGAGATCTAACAATATATTATCTGTTCAACCAGATCCGCCTTCACCGTCTAGTACAAAGCATTGAAAGTCAGGAAAAAGAAGGACTATAGGTTTGTCTGCATGTGCAATAAAGACAGATACAATTCCACTCAATCAGCATGGTTACGTCTCACTCTTATGTTGTCGTCAATTCCTCTATCTCTCTCTATAGGCACTGTCTAGGAGTTGGATACTATCAGATAATTGATTGTATGTTGAGACGTTACAGCACTGGGAAATTAATATTTCAGCTAGCGAATGGTAGTAATAAATATAACTTAACGTTCATTTACCCTAGTCGATTCCCTAATGCACGAAGTAATTCCAACATACATGAGGGATATACGTGAAATCACGATATATACGGCTGAAAATCTGGAGCGACTGCGAATTCATTCCTAGCAACTAGCAAGTTATTCATGAGGATGAAACGACATAAATATGAATATAAATCTGAGATGTGCAGACTCGTACGCTTGTATTGGGGCCAAAAACTGCTCGCGCATGATGATGAAGGGTGCGGGGTTTATTATGTTCAGTTGAAATTTATGATATTGTTGACTAGATTTTTTTGTGATTTTGTTGACAAGATTTTTCTCCAGAAATTCTGATTAGGATTGGAAAATCAATCGGAGCAATGGATTACAATATTATAATTCACATATTAAATGTTAGACAATTATTATCTATAATGCGTCAGTGATGTTGGTTAAAAAGTATCTAGCAATAACGAATAAAATCAATCATAGTTATGATACAAGTAACATGATAATCAATGTGCGACTTGAAAAACAAGAATTCAAAAGTTTGGAACAGCATTCTAGCCTTATTGGATTTGAATTTTATAATGAAATCCCATCGAGAATAAAAAGTCTAGATATTATATAAATCTCAAAAGAAGGTTGAAAGCTGGTTTATAGAAAATTGAATTGGTTGAAAAAAAAAACGTATATGGCTTTGTGTAAAAGTTGTTACATCTTCCTCCTATCATAATATCTAATACTTATACTTCATTGTTTCAGGTGTCCGTCAGACGAACTTCGTTTTTCGGATTTTCCAGCACCCATAGATGTGGAGGGGCCATTTTGAATGAGAATTGGATAGCTACAGCAGGTCATTGTGTTGATGAGTGAGTAAAAACATAATATCTCCGTTGTCTTCGGAGATAGATAGTTGCTGGTCTCATATTATTACCCTCCTTGAAGGAATATAAATTGAACTGAAGAAACATACCTACATACATTTGAGACAAAAATGACCGAGTTTTCCGAAAATGAGTGGTTATTAAAATAAAATGTGTGTATTCTATGTGAAATATAGTAGAAGGTTCTGATTCCGTCTCTCCGAAGGATTGAAAAGTTACCAAGATACAAGAGGTTTTATAGAAGTGAGAATGAAAACTTATATTTGGATGTCATCTTGTCGATAACCAAGATACTGTATCTCCAAAATATAAATGTATCTTCACTATCAGAGAAACCTGGCCGAACCTAGAATTTTGGAAGCATTTTTCAAGCAAGTTATCAAAGAACAAATCATCTAATTGCTAATTGAAACACCCCAACTACGAAATATTATCTGATGAACGTGAGCTATTACGTTCAGAACATGAATTGAGTCTTTCTCTCTAAATTCTCTGTTCATTCTAGGAAGAGGAATTTTCAGATTGAATATAGGGCAAGATCACAGCCAAGAGATGGAATTTGAAATAAAACAATTCAGATTCTCAAGAATATCCATTCCACCACCACTTTGTATACCATCTTTGTCATACTCGTATACCTTAATGATTTTTTAAATTCATAAATACTAGTTCAGTCGTCATTCGTCTTCAGCACACGTGAAAAATTCGTTCAATCCGAATAATGTTCTCCTTTTGTGAGGAACAATTATTATAGTGGGAAAAACTCATTCAACAAAATTCATCAGGTGGAAATGCTTGCATTTGAATCAATTTGGTGAACTTCCACATTTCTGCGATTATGTTGACATGATAATCCTAACTTTTGAAAAGAAAAATATTATATTGTCCGAATTATTGAATTACTCGCAGAATCAAACAGTGTTGTGGAAATATTCAACTTCAGATAAAATAATAAAATTCATTTCCATCTGAAATCAACATATCGATTTCACCAGATATATGAATATCATAAGAATCATAAGCTATATGATTTTCTTGATGGAATACATTGATCTAAAACAAATTGAACGCTATTATCGACTCGGGCAAACTGAAATATCGAAAAGATACTGATTATATCACTTTAAAATGCCCTATAACCCAAGCAAACGGTATATGAAAATGCGCTATGTCCTTGCAAAATCCTTCCAGTAGTCGATTTTATTATCGTACCCCGGTGCGTTTTGAGATATTCGCAATGAACAAGGAAATTTTGGCTAAAAATTTGGGAACATACTGATCTCACTAATAAAGGAAATTGTCAGAAGTAGAGTTCCTATATCGAGCGAAGCGAAAATAAACTATAAGTGTAAGTGTTCAAGTGCTGATGATGGAACCCAGTAGGTAGGCCGTCTCTCCAGTCCATCCCCTCTCATCCACCTTTCTCCAAACCACGTGTCCCGACTAGGCAATCAGAGGCCAGCATTTGGTTGGAACACCACGCAAATGTCACGAAAACGTCATGGAACACTACGGAAGTGTCACATAAATGTTACAGAAAACCAAGGAAATGTCACAGAAATGTCACGGAACTCCACAGAAATGTCACGGAACTCCACAGAAATGTCACGGAACTCCACAGAAATGTCACGAATCATCACGAAAATGTCATGTAACATGTGTGATGTTTTCGTGACATTTCCGTGATGTTTCCGTAGCGTTCTGTGACATTTCTGTTGTGTTCCGTGACATTTCCGTTGTGTTTCGTGACGTTCCCGTGACATTTCCGTGGTGTTCCGTGACGTTTATGTGACATCTCCGTGGTATTCCAACCAAATGGAAATCAAATTGAACAAATCAATCAATTTTCTACGCTTGTAGAAAAAATATTGTTCCTAGAACATGTGGAAAGTGTCTTTCTCGCACTCAACTGCTTGCCCGACGGCAACGGCATTCGCGTGCTGGAAAGTGTCACTTTCCGCACTAGTTGGGAATATTACTTTTCCGAATAGAGACTTTTATAACTGTATTTTGTCGATGTACAAACAAATCTTTTCATGGCATATCGTTCCAGCCTGCTGACCTCCCAGATCCGCATCCGCGTCGGCGAGCACGACTTCTCCAGCGTGCAGGAGGACCTGCCCTACACGGAACGCGGCGTGGCCAGGAAGGTGGTCCATCCCAAGTACAACTACTTCACCTACGAGTACGACCTGGCGCTGGTGCAAGTGGACAAGACCATGGACTTCCAGCCGCACATTTCTCCCGTTTGCTTGCCCGCCTCCGATGATCTGCTGATCGGAGAGAACGCCACCGTGACGGGGTGGGGGCGGTTGAGCGAGGGGGGAACGTTGCCTTCCGTGTTGCAAGAGGTAATGTAAGAAACACAGGAACAAAAATTGTTTGAAACTACAAAATTTTTGTGAATACAACAAAATCTGAGTGTCATATATCCACGACAAAATATTTTGTCACCGCAACCAATGTTTTTTGTCAGTTCTCAATTCAAAATTCATTTGATGTAACTCATGATTGATTCAATTCAACAGCAGGAATTAGTTGAATGAACAAAGACTATTTCGTTCTAGTAATACAATATCTGCTCTCATAACGATTCTGTTGATTGGAATGATTATATCATTTCATTCAAGTGACAAAATTTTCAGTTCTGCAGAGGGTGAATATGTCACAATATATATTCTTCGATCAACCAAATAGTATTTAAAATACAAAATATTTTGCTGAATAATATTGAAAAAAATCCAATCACTGAATTTCAAAACTAAGAGAAATTAGAGATCAATTTCCTCAGTTGATTCGAGATTATCAGCTTGTATAAGCGTCATAAGAAATCTTAGGACAGCCTCATATAATTTTATAAACGGATGTTTTAGTTAGGTATATGTACACCCCAATCGAGGCAAGCGTAGGAATATTGGAAGAAACGCCACCTGGTGGCAAAAACGCCGTCAAGATAATCATTCAACAAAATATTTGTTTGATATAATGTATTTGTGGGTTCTGTTCAACAAAGTAATTTGTTTGAAATAACAACGTATTTCTTGATAGTGATATGTTGAATCAACAAAATATTATGTTGTCATTATCAAATCCATTTTGTCGAATAGAAAAAAAACTTTGATTGGTTGCACAATGAAATGATTGTTGACTCAACAAAATATGATGTTGTATTTAGTTAAACCTTTGTCAAAATTAATTCAATTTTGGTCGAATAAACAAAATGCATATGATTGATTGAACAATGAGATGATAGTTGAATCAAAAAAATTGTTTTATATCAACTGTAAATGTTGTTGAATGAAATGAAACTTTTGTTCAAGTAAGCAAATATTTCAATCAAATTATTTTGTCTCTTTGAATAGGTTGCTTATTTGGAATGAACATATATTTTGTTGATTTCGCAAAATTGTGTTAAATTTAACAAGAAAAAATGACCAAAATTACACGGAAAAAAAGGAATTGTTGAATCAAGTAAAATTAAATTGAATGGAGCAAATAAAAGTGTCATATATGCACGACAAAATATAATCTTGAAATAAGTAAATCTATATCTTGTTTCAGAGCTAATTTGAAGTTTGAATCAAGTAAATATGTCTTGCATGAACTCTGGATCTTCTTCAATCAAGCACATCCATGAATTGTTTATGAAGAGATATTGAATTGGCTCAAACAAACATTTTGTTCGATTCAAAATAACAAGATATTGATTCAATCAAATATTTAGTTGATTCAACGAAATATTTGGTTGATTCAATGAAATATTTGGTTGATTCAATGAAATATTTTGTTGATTCAAGAGAAACTATATTATATTCATTCGACAAATTGTTTTGTTGAACCAAATTCAATATTCGGTAATTTTATGAAATTTCACATCAATAGAATAAACAAAACTAGGAAACTAGTCGACTCCTAGCATAGATCTTCAGTCTTTACTTCCCTTCAGCTGATGGAAAACTATTTCGGATTGCTAATCATCCTAAGTTCGATTTAACCAGCTGATATTTCAAACACGAAGAATCAGGCTTCACGTATATAATGAACTCGAGGCAGACATAGACGAGGCGAAATGATCGCCATCTAGAAGCGAGAATTTAAGTTGATGTAGAATGAACAAAATATTTCATTAATATTACATATTTCGTTGCTCTATTCAAGCAAATGATCCGATCGGAACGAGTTCATTGATACATATCGGAATAAGAAAACTTGTATGTTGTTTCAAAGATATATTCTCATCAAAATGATCATTGTTTGATCAAATCAACGAAATGTTTATAGTTGAATCAACATCGACAATATTTTGGATCGACATAATTTGTTTTTGAAGAAACCATACATTTTGTTGATGGCATGGATAATATATTGTTGATTCAATTAGACTACATTCCAACAAAAATAACTCAAGCATAAATAATTTGTTGATGCAACAAATCCTTTTTTGCCGTGTATTATGTTGGTGCAACAAAACTCCGTGTACATTCATTATTCCAGATATTTCTGGGATTTTCTCTCCTCGTCTCTATAAAATTAAAATATGAATACTGCTTCAATATCAGATGATTTGGGTTCAAGTTTCGTTCAGCTGAAACCAGTTATGGAAAATTTGTTGCTATGGTGACCGTTGTCATGGTTACGAGTAAACAGAAAACAAAATCCCGTGGTGAGGAAATGCGTGGTTGCCAAGTTGTATCGGATTTAGTATTGCTGAAATCAGTTGTGGAAAAAATAATGTCATGACAACCGTTCTCATGGTAACAGGTAAGCAAAAATCCAAATCCTATGGTGAGGAAATGCGTGGTTGCCAATTTCGCTATTTTTTATTCCATTTAAAAAATTTACAACATTTGAGGAATCAGAAAGACAGTTAGGAATTTTTTCTAAGTCAAGATTTTGTACCAGCAAGACCTCATTGCAAGTCCAAATCCAAGCAACACAAGGATCCGGTTGAGAATTTTTTACGTTATTATTTTAAAGAAACAGATTTGGAGATATACCATTGTCCTAAATCTTCGAAATGTAGACAAGATATTCCAGTGGTGAAAGGATTGAAAATAGCAACTTGTTTCCTCAGAAAGAATCCATGTGAGTATTTTGTGTCCCAATACATATTTCTTATTAGGTATTTGATATTCATGGGTTATTTGATTCTGCTAACTTGACCTAATCAGACCTAAAATCACCATTCTTTAAAACAACACCACCTAACTCAGCCAAAACGAACCTTTTACTCTCGAAAATAATGTTGTCTAAACTTTTCTCAACAGTAAATGTCTCCACAGTCCTTTTCTCAGGGACGAAGGAAAATATCCCTCCTGCATAAACACTACTTTTTTTGAACCATCTAACCTTACTCGACCTAAATGAACCTTCTTCCTAAGAAGACAGTATGTACTTTTTTCAGAGAGGAAGAAAAATATCTCTTCTGCATAAAAAAGGACACTACTTGTTCTAAACAATCTAACCTAACTCGGCTTACATGTACCTTTTTCTAAAAATAAATATATTTTTCAACATCGATCAGATTTGGTAGCAAGGCATCGTTCGTGTGTGTTCGAAGACTGGGGCTGAATCAAAATGTTCGCGTGAAGCAAGGTACGAGTGAATCGAAATGAAGGCAAATGGAAATGTGGGTAGATCGAAATTTGGGTCTAACGATATGTTTCCATCTGTATCAGACAACCAGTACCTGTGTCTTTTTTCCTATATCCTGCGCGATACCTCGTAATGAATATTCCAGAATGGCTCTTTTTTGTCGAATAGCTTGGCACGCGAAAGATGGTTGCATTGAAGAGTGTTCTTGAAATTGATGAATGAAGCAATATTTCTCTGATACAACTTGGCAACCGCGCATCTCCTCACCACGGGAATCGGATTTTTGTTAGCGCGTTACCATGACGATCGTTGCTATGACAACAGCTTTTTCAAAACTGATTTCAGCTAAACAAAACTTGAGCCATAATTTACCCCTATCAAAGAATTTTCCTATCAAAGAGCCTGAAAGAAAAATTCACTAGCTCGTCAGGGACAATTTGTATTGGAAAAGGTTTGGAGAAGAGTAATAAAGGTATATAGAGAAAATATAGAATTTGTACTTATCTTTGGACGTTTTGGGAACGATTCTGCTTCAATTTCCAACATAAAAAATAATTTTTTTATGGCAAATTAGTATTTGTCCTGACACTTCTCAGTTCTCAGTGACAATTATTGGTGACGTTGCTAATCAAATGGGTTACAAGATGTTTCCATCAATTAATCTTGAAATTTACCATTATTAAAACGAGGAGAGAAAATCCCAGAAAAAACTGGAATAATGAATGTACCACCACCTCGATCAACCTACAGACAGTCATGTAAGATATCTGAAGCAAATAAGGCCCAAGGTATAATGAGGCCCACATTCAAAATTCCGCGCTAAGAAGGTTCGATGCAGCTTTGACTTCCACGAATACCCTGTGAATGAAGCGTGGGAAACCAACAACCTAGTTGAATTCAACGCCACTGAATCTCAAGCCTGCGTTTTCTCTAGAAAGGCGGATGCCTGGCATAAAAATGTCTGGTACCACCATACCCACCAAGTCCACTATATCTATACTTGGAATTTTACATTTACACCTCATCAGCTTCCCATGATCTTCAAGGCACATATAAGGCCAGTTTTAAAATATCGTTTCCACATATGGGGTTCGGCTCCAAAACGTACTCTGCTGCTCTTAGATTCCATTCAGAGGAGACCCTTCCGCCTGGTGGGTGATGCCACACTCACTAGCTCTTTGACCTCATTAGAACACAGTAGAAAAGTCGGCGACCTTTCACTTTTCAGTAGATATTTCCATGGAAAATCTTCCTCAGGAATCTCTGCTATCCTTTCATCACAGTAGTGTTTCGTGACGTTTCCGTGACCTTTCCGTGATGTTCCGTGACATTTCCAAGTCGGCCGGTGATTGGCTAGTCAAGTCACGTGGTTTGCAAAAGTGTGGAGGGGAGGGGCTGGGCTATAGAGGCGGGATAACTACTCACTTATTCAGCACATTTTCCGAATGCATTTATTGTCACCAAATACAGTGATTTCTTTATATCAGTAATCACATGGAGCCTGTTAGTATGGATTTTCACATCGATGAACATGCATAATTGATTAACTAGAATGATTTTCCCATAACTTTGATGAAAAAAACTTCCTTGCTGCGTATATTACAGAGATTAATTAATGTCATCCTATCCTGCATAAAACGGGCTATCGGGAATGATTGTTCACCAAATGTTGACAGTGAAGTTGTCATAGGTTCTCGAAAACACAAAGCAATGGCTGAGCCAGTTTTACACAACTAGAACTAGGAGCCCGAAATCCTCTCTTGTTAATACTTGTATGCTTCTTTATTGAATACGACTGTACTTCACGGCGGACACTGAATATTTTGTAACTTTCTGAGGTAGAAATAATCTTTCAAACAGTTCTTCCGCTATCCAAGAATACATTGTTGTTTTTTTCCGACCTCTCGGCATCCACTCATCATCTAACCCCATTTCCTCCCCTGTTTCCAGGTGCAAGTCCCTATCGTGAGCAACGACCGGTGCAAGAGCATGTTCCTGCGGGCAGGAAGGCACGAATTCATCCCGGAGATATTCCTGTGCGCGGGCCACGAGGGCGGAGGACAGGACTCCTGCCAGGGGGACTCCGGGGGGCCCTTGCAGGTGAGTTGTGCCCTCGAGGCACGAACACGACGATGAGAGGGTGTTTTTTATACAGTGCTTTCGTAATTTTTTTCAACTCTCGGAGGGTACGAAAGGAAATTCCTATGATGATCGAACAACATCGTGCGTACCTAGAGAGCATAGGTAGAGGAGGTAAAGTCTCTTGAAACAGATAGATTTTCATTTTCTAATTCGCCACTTTGATAGGAAGAAATAAATATATAGGGTGATCCTTACTACGACCGGGACAATTATTTCAAGTTGCACATCACATAATATATTATTCAATTTTTGGAATCTCTATGGAAAGCTGAATTGATGAATACACAACTTTGAATATAATGTTGTAAATATTGATCGATACGAATATTTCTCTATATAGCGGTCGAATATATGGTTTCAATTGATGATCGTACCTTCGTATAGTGGCAGTTGAAATGAAAGCAGTTGTTATACTTCGACATATACACTTAGTGTTGAGTCGGTGTTATACTCTATAAGAAGTGGGCCAAGTTTTATTCTTCAATCGATTTTAGATAATGAGATTTTTTTACCGCTAGCTGTAGAACCTACCATTATTTACGAGGCGTGAAGTGTGTTATTTTTACTACCAAGGTAGTTTTTGTCATTTCATGAACCACTAGTCAATAATGACATGGCCACCTCTGTTATAATTAACCAGAATTCACTGCTCTGATGCGATATTCGCATAAATAGGACTCGAATCTAGTACGTATTTATCAATGACGACTTGACATATACGTCATAGTCATGGCTATTAATAGAATTGAAGGAAATTGCATTCATAGTGACAATAGGTCCTATTTCAGTTTCATAGAACGATAATGATTGAAATATATTGCATGTGGTGAAAAAAATTCAATCTACACCTTGGTAGCATATACGTATTAATAATCAATACGGATAATCTCTATCTGTTTCCATAGCGAAACATGAAGCCGATTTTTGAAGACAAATGACTATCCATAAGGAAAAGTTTTGAAACGATCAGACACATACTGCTTTGATTGAAAGGCTAGTAAACGTCATTGTCCACCGAAACGCATGTCTTTGATGACTACTATAATAGCGCATGGCGCATGCGCATGCGTATCATGCCACCAAATCCTTATGGATATTCATTTGTTTCATATTTTTGGCTTCATCCTGGCACCCGTTATGATCCGTATTGTTTATTAATACGTATATGCTTGGTAGTGAAGAATATCATTACCACAGGACCTTTTACCCCTCGGCTGTCTTGGTCTTGGTAATAATGATATTCTTAACTACTTTGGTGTATAAATGACTATAATTTATCAGCTTCTGCATATATGAAAAAATTGAAGTTATTCTGAAGCAGACCATGAAAATTCAAATCGTGAATTCACGAAAATATAATTTTTGGGGATGTATATGATTTCAGAAACTGAATTTCCTTGTAATTATGATTTCAGCTCTATTATTACATCATCGAGCCGAGAAATGAACACTTATTGAAGACTTCATATGCAATACGTCTACTTATTTCATGATATACTACCAAATTTTTTAGTATTTAATCCGTGGGAGCATTCATGACAATATCGAGGATAATATTTATCATTCACCTAACTCTCAATTGATCAGCAAATGGCATTCATTAATTGTATCAAGTAAATAAAAAGCATACCTACCTTTGAATGTTAATTTAGACTTTATGGAATATCACAGAAGATATCCAATTTCTTTTGATATATTTTATTTTCTTTCAGGTCAAAGGAAAAGATGGTCGTTATTTCTTAGCAGGAATAATCTCTTGGGGAATAGGATGCGCTGAAGCGAACCTTCCAGGTGTTTGCACTAGGATATCGAAATTTGTTCCTTGGATCCTCAAAAACGTTACTTGATCCTCCTATAGTTTGTTTCTCAGCTGAAGTTGGTAACAATCATATGTTTTTGATGGAACACGACTACACAAGAATATACTTCCATATTTATACAAGGTGTGAAATAATAAGTACGTTGAAATATTCAAGAGTAGTATTCCTGAAACAATTTCACGAAAAAACGTCCATATATATATATAAACATGTGGCCAGGAATGCTTCATTTCGGAGATACAAGGTATTGAAATACAGGAAACGAATAATTTTTCGATAAACATTTCATTGAAAAAACTAGTTTATTTTGATAAGACCTACCACATACTTAGTTTTTGCAGTGTTCGCAGCAAGTTCACTCAGCTCCCTAGGTGGTAAATATAATATGCATAGATATAGAGAATTGTGAATATCTCGAAAACGACCACTTCCATCAGAGTTTTTGAGGAAGTGTACCATGTTTACTTAGAAATTGTGTGGAAATTAGGTCCTTTTATGAAGAGTACCAGAAGTGTTCTGGTCAAATGTAAGGGCAATTTGAAATGAATAACAGCGTACGCAGCGCCCTCTAGATGTTACATGGAAATCAATACGAAAAAAGATTTCCCACGTCGAAAAAACCCCCGTTACCAGATTTCGTGCAAATACCTAGATACTATTTTAGAAAAGTTGTTTTCAAAATGCGAACAAAAAAAATATTCAAAAACCCTTCATCTCCGAAACGAAGCATTACCGGACACAAGTTTATAGAGACTTTTTCCCTTAAAATTTTCTCAGGAATACGTCACTCGAATATTTGAATGTACTTATGTTATACCCTGTGCAGGTGCTACATCGGGAATAGTTGAGGATATATTCTTACCTGTTTCATCAAATACATTCTTGTTTTGACTGTTTTGAAATGAGTAATTTGCTGAGATGTGCGAAAATTATACATTCAGTGAGTATATGCGACAGTCTTGTACAGAGCAACATTTTTATTTCTGTATATACCTACATAGCTACCAGGATTTCATGTAACTGGTGTTATCATTTCTATAATTAATATTATGTAGGATGCACTCGAAGAGGTCAAGAGGATTTTCAAAAGACATTAAAGAATTTTCTGTCGAAATATGTTGAAAAAAACTCCGATTGCTATATACTGCTAGATACTGTAGATACTGTTCAAATTGAAATAGTATGGGTATAAATATAGTTTTATAGTTTCTACTCTGATTGCGAATTCCATTAGTAAATCTGACTCTAAATAAATGCATATTTTGTATTTCATTGGTGAAACTGGTGTCGGGTTTTGAATTCCATTGGAAAACTGGTTCACATAGTTTGGTGAACAGTGCAACAATTCTCGCACGAGCTCTAATGTGCGAAGTCAGTGCAGTTTAAAAATGGCGAAAACATTGAATATGAATGTTTGAAAACCAAATTGTTAGTAGCAATCCAATCATCATCATCAAATAGTGATGAAAAGTTGGAGGTTTCAAGAAAATAAAGGAGATTACTTTTCCCACAATTCATAATTTTGTTGAAAGTATCTTGCGAATTCAATAATGAAGAGGTACTTATCAAAAAATAAAGTGCTCAAAACGAGTTCCATGAAACATCTACTTCATTTTCAATCGAAGTTAAGAAATGATTTCAGGATGCTGACAAGTTATGAACAAAAGCAAACCAACTTATCCGATTCAACCTACAACAATAATTTTATTATAATATTATTTCGTATTATATTGAGAATGCACCAGTTCACATTTTGGAGAGAACTAAAGTAGTGCGGGTGCAAAACTGGTGCACCACCAGGTTTACGAATGGAATTCGGTATGAATGACTTATCGTTTTTGCAAAAATTAACCTTTCATGTGACTGACATAATGTCATTCTATGATAATATTTTCCGCTTTTACTTGAAAACATTTTGTCCTTTCGAGTTCCACCAGTTATTTCTTCTCTTCACAATACTGCAGGCTCTTGAAAAACTTTGGAAATGTATGTTGCCACCCATATTTTTCAGTAAAATCGCACCTCAACATATCACTCCGACGATGCCACTGAGAAACCGATCGACTGACTAAAAAGGTTCTAACTAATTTATCAGAATAAAATATCCTATTTTTGTAGCGGTTTTCTAGCAATTCAACTAAACTCTTTTTTTGTGGATTTCAACGTCCTGTGTATCTAGATAGATAAAAATGACATAAGTTTGTAGGAATTTTCGTCATTTTTCTCAAATACTCTATATATCCACCTCTTGAAGTGCGTTCGACATATTATGAAAAAGCCCAATCCCCCTGAAAACTCATTACCGATTGCTACACATGGTAATAATAATCAAGTGTTTCAAAAGAAAACAGCGAAATGAATTATAATTATCAACTCTTCCGAATAAAAACAGCGAGAACTAAAAATCAGACAAGCATGCATTTTTGTGATTTGATTGCAATATTATTATTTTTCGTTGATATTCACAATGCCCATAATGTTGATCATAGGTATACTAGTATGATATTATTGATATAAGATGACGATATTGATATATATTCACGTCAACATCCTATTCACATCTTGAAAGGATTGTGCTCAATTTACATGAATGTGAAGTTCCATTTTCTATTAGCCAGTATGAACACTTCATTCGAATCTATAATTGGAAAGACTTTACTTTGATAACAAATGTGGCATTATCCAATAATATATAAATCAATGCATCATAGAATGACTAGAGTGTACTGAAATGAATATTGTGTAAAAAACAGACACTGACAAAACAGACACTTCAAACGGACCGTCAGCGCGTGGGGTATGTTTTTTGCTATTGCTTTACTCCAATTTACTTTGAAAAGACAAAACCAATACGCTTTCGTGTTATTCGTTTCTTTTTTTCTGTGACGGGAAAAAAGTTTGACATTTCATCTCTGTTGGCAGGTTATAAAATGTCACTTTTCATGAGTTACTTTTTTCTCGTGGAAAAAAAGTGAGTACTATTTTCCTGGATATATATCACATATATATACAGTATTGATGGCTTTTGTTGTGTTATAGTTCCGAAAAATGAGTCAATAATACCGTCTCCGAGAAACTGCAAGTCCTTTCATCTTCCATTCGACTTCGCGGTTATGTATATTACTAAACAACCACTTAATTTGCAATTGTTTGAAATCAAATCACATAATTAGACTGACAGAAGTAACAACAGATATTTGATTACTCCAAAAGATTGATAAAGATGCCTACAACGCAGGTGTCCCTACTGTTAAAAACTTAAAATTTCACGTCAATTAATGTAATATCTTCTCAATATTCGTCCTTTCTTCTGTCACAGAAAAAAATAGTGTATTATACACGGGAAAAATATTAGGTTTTAGCTCACGGTTTTCTGTCTCCCGACGCGACACAACCTGGAACTATAATCTACTACTTTTTTTCCTTGTATGATAAATAACTATTGAAGGCAGTTTTCTGCCCAGACGCTGTAAAAACCTGATGGCCTATAAAATTGTTCAAAAATATGATAATTGGCACTTAGAGCACCCATAAATATAATTTTCTATGCTCTCGATCTTCCATACTGTACAATCTTCCACTCTTATTTTTATATATATTACTCTAGCAGTTTTTCAAGGAAGGTAATTCGTCCAGATAGGTATAAAAAGACGTATAGGGATATTGCCGATTCCTCGTATATCCTTTCGCATATACTTAAGGAATAATTGACATTTCGTATGCAATCTTGACTAGCGATAAGGCGATGAACATACGAATTGCCATTTTCGTTGATATACCATGAGAAATACGAGAATCCGGAGTACCCCTAGTAGATAATTTGTATATTGTTATTTTGTTATAAATATGTGTATATTTATATTTAAAAGAACAAAAATTGTTGTTACAATTTGAAAAGTGTATTTTACGCAATGATTGGAAGATAACAATAAGATTTTTTATATGTGATATCTAATTTATTTTTGTAATATATTGTCAGTTGAGTCAAGTTATTTTTCCTCTTCACCACTATGAAATGGGGATCTAGGGTGAAAAGATGTTGAGAATTGGTTGTGTAACCAACCGCTGATATTCGTTTGAAATGTCGTGGGAAATAACGATTTTTTTATAATCTTCAATCCAGGTACCCACGATGTTATATGTATACAGGGTGGATCACGGTAGATGGCACCTTAGACGTTTACGGAGAACGGGACATAAGATCATTCTGAAATTTTGGTTACTCAAGTAATTGCTCTTGATCTATCGATCTAAAATATTTTCAGCTCTGCGGCGTTGCCGCTTCTATCGAAAAGTAGCAACAATTTTGTTATTTTAAATGAAACACCCTGTATTTTATTGCATCTTCAGAATCTCTCTGAAGAGCTGATTCCATCGATATATCACACTTGGGGTCTAGCGGAAATGATTACAGAGATATAGGGTGTGAAAAATCGACATTTTTCAACTTAAGGAATTGTTTTTTGTCGAAACTATTCATTATTGGTCAAAACGGCTTACATGTCCCTATCTCAACTCTTGATCAACTATCTACTGATATTTAATTGGGACATATACCGGGTGATCAAGAATCTGAATTCTGCACCACCCTGTATTTGTTTCAATTAAATGTCAGTAGATAGTTGATCAAAAGTTGGGATAGGGACATGTGAGCCGTTTTGACCAATAATGAATAGTTTCGACAAAAAAATTCCTAAAGTTGAAAAATGTCGATTTTTCACACCCTATAACTCTGTAATCATTTCCGCTAGACCCCAAGTGTGATACATCGATGCAATCAGCTCTTCAGAGAGAATCTGAAAATGCGATAAAATACAGGGTGTTCCATTTAAAATAACAAAGTTGTTGCTACTTTTCGATAGAAGCGGCAACGCCGCAGAGCTGAAAATATTTTAGATCGATAGATCAAGAGCAATTACTTGAGTAACCAAATTTTCAGAATGATCTTATGTCCCGTTCTCCGTAAACGTCTAAGTTGCCATCGACCGTGACCCACCCTGTATATTAACAAATATATCGTGCAAATC